CGTAAGCTCTTCAGTTCTCTAGGTTTCTCTTCTTTTTTTGGTAACGACTTCTTTAGCTCTCAATTTCTCTCTCTCTCTCTGATCTTTTCACTTCTGATTTCTTCCTCTCCCGTCTTGTGTGATGGTCCTCATATTTATGGAGGGCCATCAGGTGATAGGAATGCTTCATCTTTAATTTGAATTTCAAATTGAATGATAGCGCCTATTTGAATTTTGAATAATAGCGCTATCTGATTAATCGTATATCTGATTAATCGGATTGATCTTTGGGGTTTCATCCTGTGTGGTGTCCTTGCTGTAGGCTCTACAGGTGTCATCTTTCGTAAGCTCCATGTGTCACTTGAGTATCTTGAATAACGTTGTTGAGATGCAACGTCGTTTTATTTATGTATTTCAACGGATCATATTAATCTTTTTTTGGGAAGTGATTACCTACAACCTTCCTATCATAGACTCCATACGTGTCATAAATTTAGTTGAAATTTATGTGCCAACAACAGCATACTTACGAATTGGCACGTTGTTGAGGGCAGTCCACTACTAATTCTAACGGCAGGTTGAACTCGTGTATCCACCAAAGCATGGAAAAGACACTTGAATATCTTCGATGTGACGAGGGATGTATTGGATAAATTTGGTCTGAAAATAATTCGGCACAAACCTATCACTGCTTTATTGTCACCTACCGAGTTGGACCCCTACATCCCTTTACATACGGCTTCCGAAGACTTGATCTATACAGGAATTCGAAATTGCTGTGAGATTCTCAAGAAAGGGCACTCCAAATCAATTGGTTCATTCCCTGTCTCAATCCTTCATCCATTTTCTGAAGACCTTCACTGCTCTGAATTTAATACTCTTCTTAAGAGAATGAAGCATGAAAAACTGAAGTGGGATAATTCTTTTAATGTCCGCGGCATTTTTATCCATTTGCAATCCCCTATATGGATTTTTTGGTTGAATGACGTTCTTTCCACATTTGCCCCTATTTTGAAGAAATGTGGGATTTATGCTACAATCTATGTATCCCAATTTGCTTATGCTAGGAATGTTTCCCTCCTCAAAGGATTCTTAGAGCGGTGGTCACCCGACACCAACACTTTCCACACCATTTACAGCGAACTTGGGATCTCTTTATGGGACCATCATCGCATTAGCGGGCTCCCCATTTGTGGCGAGTTTTATGAAGAGTTCACCCCCTCCAATGACATTTTATATTCGTCCCAGACATCCAAGGCGTGCCGTGGGCTTTTCAACATTTATGCCAGCTCTTGTCAATCCAAGAAGTTTAACCACTAGACTTTCAAATTCATTGACGAATCCCCAACTTCAATTAGTGGTTTTCAACGAAAAGATAGAATTCCTGATGATGTATATCTTTCTGGTTTTTTTACGAGCTGGCTTAGCGGATTTGTCTTCCCTCACTCTTCCGGGGAAATTCGTCCGACGACCTTTCATGTAGCCACCAAAATGGCAGGTGGAACTTTATTTAGCCTGGCCATCCCCGTCCTTGCATACCTCTATCATTCTCTTGGTAAAATGGCATCATCATCTTCACCTGGGAAGGAAAATATTCAGGGTCCTTTACATCACCTTTTTGGATGGATTTCACTATATTTTGTCAAGACTTACTCTCATGGGGATCCTTAGTCGATTTGTCTGATTCCTGATATTCATTTCATGCCATATCTTGGGTTTATTGGAAACCAATCGGCTGCCCAGTTTTTTACTGATAAATTTCCATTTGTGGATTCTTTCCTAACTTATCGCACAGAGTGTCAGTTTAGGGCTCTCACTCATGAAAGTGAACCTTCAAGCATTCTGGTCGACTCTGAAAGGATATCACCTTTCCACCTTGGATATCTTATATCTTTGAGGTAAGGGATTTTAACTTTTAAAATGGGATTTAATTTCATTTCTGAACCGTACTCCCCTAACCGATACGGTCGTCAATTTGGGTTTGCTCAAGCATGCCCTATACCGCTTAATGTATCTTGTCGGCAGCCCTCTGAGTGGTCTAAATTGTATTACAACTAGCGCCATATGCTACGCTGCTACAAAAGTCTCATTGGAGTTACCATGCTCCCGATCTACTTCTCACGTAACCATGCCTTATGCCAATTGGTGGTTGGCAACTTCCTTTACCGTGCTCCAATAAGTTACTCATTCCCAGCCGAAATCTTCACGCAAGAGAAAACTGGATATGCCAATTAAAGACCGAAAGACGAAAAATCCTTCTTACTCTAGAGCTAGGTCATCATCTTCACCTATTGCTCTGGAAGCATCATCACCTCAGAGAATGGATAATAGTCGACCACTTATTGCTCCTTCTCGGTCTAGTTACTCGGTTTCAGATCTCCATCTTTTCGAGGATATGTGTAATTCTCAATTTAAAATGAGATTTAGCTTTGAGCAAATAGATTCTGGCCCTCAATTTGCTTGTCCCGCAAAGTTTTTCCTGAGACTGTCTATTGGTGATTGTACAGGAACTTCCTAACCCACCGTAGCGACCAAAACTCCAATGGATCAATTTCACACATACTTGTACTCTTTTCTTGAAGATAAAGATGAGAATATGATTCAAGAACTCTTTGAGGGCGATGGGTATGAATTAACTGCCTTGGGTCGTATTCGCATTAAGAGTGTTGAAATTCCTTCTCCTACCAAATCTTTTGATTGTTCTCTCAATGGAAGTAGCGAGAGTGAAGATGAGTTTTATGACTACACCCCTCTTTTAGATGGCACACCGACTAAGATTAGTAAATCGCCTTCATCAAATGTAGCTTTTTCTTCTCCTTCGAACGAGTCATCCAAGCTATTAGAGAAAGGTATAATTTTTTTTTATTTTATTTTTTATTTTTTTTTAATACCTTTCATTTTCTTAGGCACTGGGCCTCGGACTTCCCCAGCTGCCTCACATATGCCATTGGCTACCTTTAAGGGTATTCTTATTCATTCCTTGTACCTCATTTTATTTCATCATCTATAGATACTCAAGGAACTCTTTTCTCTTTAGATCATGCCACATTGCAAAATCCATGGTCCACTTGTGGGAATCACAACTTGTCTCCTCCACCTAAGTCTCTTCAAGCTGTACACCAAGGTATACTTCATTCATCTATATATATATATATATATATATATTGTTTTTACCTTCTACGTTTTCATTGAGTATCTCCTTCTATTTTCACAGAAAATACTTCTAACACATTGGAAGAGACAGACGAAATTACTTCTGATACCTCGGAAGAGGCCCAAATTCTTGCAGACTTACTTGAAGCAAATGGGGTTAACAAATTATTTGACAAACTTGAAGCACCCTTTGCTCCATCTAACCTTCTTTTGGAAACTTCCTCCAACGAAGCAGCCACCCATATTCAGAAAGGCCTTACTATTTCTCTCCAATCAATGACGGATGTTAATGGCATGATTGCTGTAGCAAACAACGTTTTCATGATTTTGAAGAGTTTGGGTGTAGACTTCATCTCCTTTTATGAGAAGGTGAAGATATTCCTTGGGTGCTTTGCTTTGAAAACCCAACTTGCAGATTCTTCAAACTTGTCTACTGCAAAATTTGAGGCCTAATATTATGAGAAGAAGCTTCATTTCGACAAAGTTTTTGGCGAACATGAACAGTTGTCTGCTTCAATTATCAAGTCGGATGAACATATTGCGGGTCTTAATCAAAGGATTATTCAAACCAAAAAGTTACTCAAACAACTTGAAGAGGAATTGTCATCCACCCAAGCAGAACATGCATCCTTTATGTGTGATTTTGCACAAGCTTCCGAGAGTGTTTCTAAATCAGAAGAAGACGTGCAAACTGCTCTGAATGTTTTGAGCCAACACAAGAAGAAGAATGGACAACACACTGTTATGGAACGTGCATTTGAAAGGACTAAGGCTTCTCTTAATGAATGAATGCACTTTTATTTTTTTATTCATCCGAACATAATGTATTTATGAAATTTCGCTCAATGATAGATTTATTTGTTATATGAAAATTTCTCAATACGATACATTGATTTGTCTTATTTTAGCCGTACACAATAGATTTATTTGTTTATATGAAATTTCTCAATACAATACATTGATTTGTCTTATTTTGGCCGTACACAGTTTATACTCTTGCGGACCAGGAGTATCCAATGTTTTATCACCTTAGATTTTGGTGAGGTATTTTAACAGTTTAACCACATACAATACCGTTGGTGGTCCTCGACTTTTGTTTGGCCGTACAGGAGTATCCAATGTTTTACCACCTCAGATTTCGGTGGGATATTTTAGCAGTTTAACCACATACAATACCGTTGGTGGTTTTTGACTTTTGTTTGGCCGTACACAGTTTATACTCTTGCGGGCCAGGAGTATCCAATGTTTTACCACCTTAGATTTCGGCGGGATATTTTAGCAGTTTAACCACATACAATACCGTTGGTGGTTTTTGACTTTTGTTTGGCCGTACACAGTTTATACTCTTGCGGGCCAGGAGTATCTAATGTTTTATCACCTTAGATTTCGGTGAGGTATTTTAGCTGTTTAACCACATACAATACCGTTGGTGGTTTTTTTTTTTTTTTTGCCTTACATTTTTCCAAGGCCGCCCTTTCGGGTTTTCAACCTAGCAGGCTTTCTTAAGGGTAATATCTCTTCAAGAACCTTGCATTGGTTGGGGGAATGATTCTGTCACCATCCATCGTTATCAACAAATAGGCCCCATTAGAATAAACCTTCTCAATCACATAAGGTCCTTCCCATTTGGGCTCAAGCTTTCCTTTGGTTCTTCGTGAGACTACTATGGGTGTTCTAACCATTAGTACCAAGTCTCCCTTTTTAAAGGAACGAAGCCTCACTCTTTTATTGAATGCATTTGCCATCCTTTGTTGGTAGATTTTCAAGTTCTGTTGAGCATACAACCTTCTTTCATCCAGGGTCTCCAGCTCAGCCAACTTCACTCTTGCACTTTCATCTTCTGTTAAAGACTCTTGTATTGCCACTCGTCATGATGGTATTTGAACCTCAAGTGGTAACACTGCTTCTCCTCCAAAAACCAACGAATAAGGGGTTGCTTGCGTAGGAGTTCTGTGTGAAGTCCGATAAGCCCACAAAGCTTCTTGTAACTTTTCGGGCCAAGCTTTTTTGTTCTTATCCACCATCTTCTTAAGAATTTTGCACAATGCCTTGTTGAAAGCTTCTGCCAAACCATTAGCAGGTGCATGATATCTTGATGAATGGTTGTTTTTGATTTTGTACTTGGCAAATAACTTGTTCAAAGCATCACTCCTGAATGGCTGTCCATTATCCATGATGATACTTTTTGGAATCCCGAACCTATAAATGATATGGGTTCGGATGAACTCAGAGACAACTGTGCTTTTTATATCCTTAAAAGCCACGGCCTCTGCCCATTTTGAGAAATAGTCAGTTGCAGCTAGGATGTATCGATATCCTGCTGAAGATGGAGGTACAAAAGGACCAATAATGTCCATACCCCATGCTGCAAATGGCCAAGAACAAGTTGTTAAATGTAAAGGCTCTGGGGGTTGGTGGAGAAAGTTCCCATGGAATTGGCAGACTTGGCATCTTCGAGCATAATTTATGCAATCTGCAATCATAGTCGGCCAATAGTATCCCAACCGTTTTAGCTGCATATGTAATTTAGGACCACTTTGGTGTGCCCCACATACACCTGCATGTATTTCTGCCATTACCTCTTGAATACGCTCCTTGGCTATACACCGCATGTACATTCCATCCACAGACCTTTTGTATAACCCATCCTTCCACGAGACGAATTTGGTAGCCCTATGTCTCACTTCAATTCTTTTTACTTTATCTTCAGGTAACCTACCATGTTGGAGGTAAGTTATAAATGGTTCCCGCCAATCCTCCTCGTTTTCTCCTTTCGTGGTGACGACCAAAAGTGGAATCAAGTCAGAAACTTCTTTTAAAGGTTGTAACACCCTTCTTTCACCTACCGTAATAGTAATTATTTTGCTATCTGGTAGGGTGAGTGATGCAGCCAAACTTGCAAGTGAATCAGCTCGAGTATTTGTTCTTCTCTTCACATGGAAAATATGTGTTTTCCTGAATTGCGAAAGCAATTGATCAGCCCTTCCATGATACGGGATGAGACTTGTTTTCTGAACCATGTATTCTCCACGGAGTTGCTTTACCACCAGTTTCGAATCTCCATAAATTGAGAGTTCTTCAATAGGAATTTGTAATGCCAATTCTAATCCAGCAATTACAGCTTCATATTCTGCCTCATTATTGGAGCATCCTTCACTTAAGGCGAAAGAATGGGTGATTATAGCATTGTCTGGAGTCACAAACACAATTCCAATTCGAGCTTTATTATTTTTAGGATTTTCTTGCTTTTTGCCATCTGGACTCCTTGAAGCTCCATCAAAATACATCTCCCATCCTTTCTGAATTTCTACTTCCATAACCTCTTCATCTGGTAAATCAGTTATTAGAGGTGAGTCATCAAGTATAGGATGTGCTGCCAAAAAATCTGCTAGAGCCTGCCCCTTTACAGCTCTTTGGGGAACATATTCAATTGCGAATTGTTGGAGAATTACAGCCCACTTTGCAATTTTCCCTGAAAGTATGGGCCGTGAAAGTATATATTTCAAGGGGTCTGCTCTTGATATCAACTTGACTTCGTGTTCCGGGACATAGTGCTTTAGTTTTGCAAGGCGAACACCACAACAAGACATGTCTTTTCGATAGGAGAATAATTGACTTCTACCCCAACCAGAGTACAACTCAAGTAATACAAGGCATTTTCTTTCCCATGCTCATTGTGTTGTGCCAATAGTGCCCCTAACGAACCATCCAGGGCTGTTATGTACAACAAGAGTGGTTTCCCTTTTATTGGGCTCATGAGTACTAGAGGCTTCAAAAGATACTCCTTAATACTATTAAAAGCATTTTGGCACTGCTGATCCCATTCAAATGGAACACCTTTTTTCATCAATCTTGAGAATGCCAAGCATCGACCAACCAAGTTCGAAATAAATCTTCTGATATAAGACAACCTCCCTTGTAGCCCCTTCAATTCCCTTAAATTTTGCGGAGGAGGCATTTCAGCAATGGCTTTAATCTTAGTAGGGTCAATTTCAATCCCTTTGTTTCAAACCACAAACCCTAGAAACTTTCCTAAGGAAACTCCAAATGCACATTTTAGTGGGTTCATCTTAAGTTTGTATCTCCTCAAACGTTCGAAGATTCTTCTCAAATCTTCTACATGGTTTTCCTTCTCCTTTGTCTTGACGACAAGATCATCGACATAGCATTCAATAGTATCATGGAGCATATCACTGAAAATTATAGTCATTGCCCTTTGATACGTGGCCCCAGCATTTTTCAGGCCAAAAGGCATTACCTTATAGCAAAAGACTCCTCTCAGAGTCCTCAATGCAGTCATTTCTTCATCTTCAGGTACCATTCGGATTTGATTGTATCCTGAGTATCCGTCCATAAAAGATAAGGTTTCATACCCAGTAGTTGCATCTACAAGAAGCTCAGTGATGGGCAAGGAAAAGTCATCTTTAGGACAAGCCTCATTGAGATCACAGAAATCAATGCAGACCTTGATTTGACCATTCTTTTTATTGATCTGCACTATGTTTGCTAGCCAGGTTGGATATTGGACTTCCCCGATGAATCCTGCATTAATAAGCTTGTCGACTTCGGCTTCAATTTGGGCTGTAAGCTCTGGTCGAGTTTGCCTCTAAAGCTGTTTAACTGGCCGTTTCTCAGGGTGAATTGCAAGCTTATGGACTGCAATCTCTGGATTAAGACCAGGCATCTCATTGTAGTTCCATGCAAATATGTCACGATACTCCCTTAAGAAGGAAATATATTGCCGAGCTTCTTCTTCCTTTAAATTTACACTAATGAAGGTTGGTTTGTTTTCTCCTTCATCACCCAGATTTACCTCACGAAGGTCATCCATAGTGGCTTGGCCTCCTGCTTCAAATTCTATTAGTGCAGGTTGAGCTTCATCTTGGTCAACATCTTCCGACACATCTTGAGTGATAGTCATGTTTACTGGAAATTTTTCCTCATCACCCCGATAGCCTAACCCTTCTGTCCTAGCGGTGATAATACCGCCTTGCTGGATAGCTTGCCTCTGCGAAGGTGTTAATGCAAAGTCAAAGGGTGTCATTATTTCTGGTATTTTTTCAGGATCTAAACCAACTTTCACCAACATCTGTGTAATTTTTGCACTAAAATTAGGCTTCTCAAAACTCGAAATGTTTTCTTCTGGCACTTGTTCGACTTTCACTTTCTGTTCAACATCTCCAAGTGAGTGGAATATGATGGGTTTCGATCCTTTTCCTTTAGAAGGGACCACAATCTTATTATATTTCTCCACATAGGTACATTCTGTCCTCCTTAATGGCAACGTGAACTCACCCTTGAGATCCAAAATTGGATTTATTGGGGCTAGAGCCTTTGCCCCCAGTTTCCTTTCGGACTTTGGCACATATCGAAAAGTTCTTTTTGTTGAAACTGGAGTAGACTCTAGAACGTCTTCGACATTTGGAGTATCTTCAGACTTTTTCACATCTTTTCCCTTTCTTTGTGAAGTCTTTGTATAGAAGCGAGCATCAGTATAATAGGCCTCTACTTCACCAAATGGATCATTGTCAGCCACAATTGTCCCCTCTTTTTTGGGTGAAGGCAACGGGTACTTGATACATTGGTGATAAGTTGATGGCACTGCATGATGATTATGCATCCATGGTCTCCCAAGCAAAGCATTGTAGGAGGTGTCTACATCAATGACCAAGAACTCAGTGCTTTCTTCAATATCTCCAAACTTGGTTCGTAGTTCAATCTTTCCCATTGGGCGTTGTTCATTTTGATTAAATCCTTGCATGACCAGACGACTTGGCCGCAGTTGTGAAATTCGAACCCCTAACAAATTTAAGGCCCTTCGAGGCAGGAGGTTTACCGCAGATCCTCCATCAACCAGAATTCAAGAAATTTTCACATCATGGATAAGCCCAGTGATAAACAAAGGCCGATTATGGTCTGTCATTTCAGCACACGTCTTTGTCACCAAAGGTTACCATAGCCATGCATGTAGTTGCCTTCTCTTGACTACTACCCTCGATTTCTTTGTGGAAATCCTCTGGCTTGGACAGGGCATTTATTAAAGACTTTCGAAGCTCTGGAGACATTTTCAGTGCATCATATACGCTCAACAATGCTGGAATTTTCTTTAGATGAGCTAGTACATCATATTTCACTTGCTCTTCCTCCAACAAAACCTGTGGAATTTCTAACGTTTGAGGGTCCTGAGGATTTCGTTATTTCCTCCGGTAGGTTAAGTAAGTCTGGCATACTTCAGCAACCGCCTTTCTGTTGACCTCAATTTCTTTTATTCCCTCACTTATTTGGACCATGTTAACTGGTCCAGCTGCAGGGTGATCATCATCATCAGTCACTTCTCCATCTTCCTGGAGCTGCATTCTTCTCTCATTTCTTAGGTACCAGGAGTCACGCCTACAAAAGCATTGAGATTCTTCAAAACCATTCTTCATGGCCTCCCAACTAGGCACCACGACTCCATCGAGGGAGCAATACCAGTCAAAGGCGATCCCTTCTAAGAAAATGGGGAATTGTTTTAGGCAAAGTGCTTCATTTTGAGCTGTTTTCCCACATTGTTTCAAAAAACGCCTAATATGTTTTTGAGGATCTCCATACCCCTCATATAGGACAAAATTTGGAAGTTCGTATCCTTCAGGAAATGGTGTTTGCTCCACCCATAAAGGGAACAAATCCTTTGCGCGATAAGTGCCCATCTCTCGAAGGTCAAGGGCAGTTTCAATCTTCTCCACAATTGTGCCTTCTATGAAATCGTATGTTCAAGAAGATGTACCTTCGTCATCCAAATGTTCTGACATCTTAATTTCTATTGGCCATGGTTTATAAAATGTCCTATAGAATTGATCAGCCATGGTGTCCCAATCTGGGATTGAATTAGGTGGCAGGCTGAAGTACCAATCTACTGCCCATCCTTCTAAAGAAAGAACGAATTGCCTTAGAAGTAATGCCTGGCTTTTTACTGTGTTTCCACATTGTGCAAGGAAACGAACCAAATGGTGCCTTGGACAACATGTCCCATTATATAAAGGAAAACGAGGTACTACGTATCCTCGTGGGAACTAAACCCATTCGACCCAATTAGAGAAAGGGTGTCCAGAAATTTGATATCTTTTAATAATCAAATTTTGATGGGCTTCAAAACCCTCATTTTTCAAAGAGACTGTTACTTTTGCCTGATGTTCCGCTTCCCTTCTAGTTTCAATTTTTGCTTTCTCATCATCACCTGGATTGCGAATGATATGTATTTCTCATTCTTCAAAATTTACATCTACAGTGATGACATTACAAGGAAAGTCAAAGTGGTCACTTGATACACTTTCTCCATCGTATGTCCTAGCTGGGGATGTGTATGGTGAACCATCAGGAGAAAAATCAAGTTCCCAATCTTCATTAGGATCCTCAACTTGAGATGACTTTGCTTGTTTACTTGAATGCTTCCATACTTCATCATCCGACATACACCTGCCATTCACCTCATCATCCTTGAAGTGTAGTCGTTTTTTCGCCTTTTTCACAAGCTCAGAGTCGGACCTACACCCAGTGTCTCCTTGTTCTGTTCCCCTTACATATTCTGGAGTACTTTGATAGTACATTGGTGGTACTGGCGAAAACTCTGGAGAAAAGGCTTCTGGTGTATACTCTGGAGAAGCTGGTGTATATTCTGGAGAGGCTGGTGTGTACTCTGGAGAAGTTGGTGTATACTCTGGTGAGTCAAGTATGCAGATAG